CTTCGGCTTTGAAACTGAGATGAGCACCGTGGCGCGTACACTTCCGAACCGGTATGGAAGGTAAGTCGATTTCACCCCTGATTCAAAACCTGACCTTGGTCAAATGCATTTAGTTCAGTGGTGGGTTGCCCCCAGTTTGCACTGGTAGTAAAACCGGTGGGAGGTTCCGCCCACTGACCCTGACATCATCAAATGAACCAGTAGTAAAGATAAGTAGAACCCACCCCTGATCTAGTTGACCTTAACAGATTAACAGAGTTGGAAGGGACCTTGTAGGTCATTTAGTCCAACCCCTTGCCGAAGCAGGAGACCCTACTCCATTTCTGACAGTCTCTTCTTGAAAGCCTCCAGTGATGAAGCTCCCACAACTTCTGAAGGCAACTTCTGTTCCACTGGTTGATTGTTCTCACGGTCAGGAAATTTCTCCTTATTTCCAGGTTGAATCTCTCCTTGTTCAGTTTCCATCCATTGTTTCTTGTTTGGCTTTGGAAAATAGGTTGACCCTCTCCTCTCTGTGGCAGCCCCTCAAATATTGGAAGATGGCTATCATGTCTCCCCTGGTCCTTCTCTTCACTAGACTAGCCATGCCCAGTTCCTGCAACCGTTCTTCGTTTATTTTCATTTTCATTTTTTTTCATTTTATGAAATTTGTATACCGCCCTACTCCCGAAGGACTCAGGGCGGTGAACAGCCATAAATAAAACATATAGATACAAAATTTAAAATAGAAATAAAACTAATTAAATAAATTTGGCTGAGACATTTTAAAACCCCAATAAATTAAAACCAAATTTAAAATTCCATTTAAAAGAGGAAAAGTTTAGGTTTTAGCCTCCAGACCTTTGTTCATTGTAGATAAATTCAGATCAACAGAGTTGGAAGGGACCTGGTAGATCATCTAGTCCAACTCCCTGCCCAAGCAGGAGACCCTACCCCATTTCTGACAAATGACAGTCCAGTCTCTTCTTGAAAGTTTCCAGTAATGAAGCTCCCACAACTTCCGAAGGCAACTTCTCTTCCATTGGTTGATTGTTCTCACTGTCAGGAAATTTCTCCTTATTTCCAGGTTGAATCTCTCCTTGTTCAGTTTCCATCCATTGTTTCTTGTTTGGCTTTGGAAAATAGGTTGACCCTCTCCTCTCTGTGGCAGCCCCTCAAATATTGGAAGATGGCTATCATGTCTCCCCTGGTCCTTCTCTTCACTAGACCAGCCATGCCCAGTTCTTGCAAACGTTCTTCATATGTTTTAGCCTCCAGTCCCATCATCATCCTGGTTGCTCTTCTCTGAACTCTTTCTAGAGTCTCAACCTCTTTTTTTTAAATAGTGTGGTGACCTTAGTTGATCTCAGAATCTATGTGAATGAGTGTCTTTCCACTTCAACCCCCACAATGGACGAATGGCTGCAAAAGCTGATGGAGGTAGCAGAGATGGCTAAATTGACTGCTTTGATCAAAGGAAAAAAAAACCCAACAAAAAACAACATAAGTACTTTCGTTTCTACTTGGAAACCGCTTCTGGACTTTGTGCTCGAGGTGGGGTTGGAAAAAATGAAAACTTTGATTTGGGGTTTTTAACAATTCGTTTGCTTTCTTGTTATAGAAATGGCTAGTTTATACTATTATGGCAAAGTCAAAAGTTGAGGTTTGATGTTACTATCTTATTCTACTGCACCAAAGAGTGTCAGAAGTCAATGCCTTTTTTTTTTCTTTTTCCCTTCTTCTCTACACTTTTCTGTTCTGTTCTGAAGAACTGAAGAAGCTTCTTGAACGAGGAGCGAAATGTCTTCAAGGAAGAACAAAGTCCAGTTGCCTTTCTAAAAAAAAAAGCAGCTTTCGGGATATTTTAATCTAGAGGGTTGAGTTTTTAAAGGAAGAGGGAACTACTCAGGATAACCTTTAATCCGTGGTGAAATCTGAACTGGTTTGCTACCACTTCACCAGCTGTGCATGCACATTACACACCAAAAGGAGGCTTGGGAAGGTAAGTAGAACAGCGAGGAGTGGGGATCAGCTGTGCCATGCAATTTAGCTTCGCTTTTTATTATTATTATTATTATTTTTATTTGATTTATATGCCGCCCTTCTCCGGAGACTCAGGGCGGCTTACAATGCGTTAAGCAATAGCCTTCATCCTTTTGTATATTTATACAAAGTCAGTTTATTGCCCCCACAAACTGGGTCCTCATTTCACCTACCTTAGAAAGGATGGAAGGCTGAGTCAACCTTGAGCCTGGCGAGATTCGAACCAGCAGTAATTGCAGGCAGCTGTGTTAATAACAGGATGCATTAAACCACTGTACTACCAAGGCTCCTTAGTAGCCTTAGTTTAGTGCTTGAAAGCACTAAACCGTGCGGCACAACTGATCATTGGAAATACTGGTTCAGAGGAATCAGTAGCTTTTTTTAACTACTGGTTTAACTAAACCGGTAGCTAACTATCAATTCGACCAAAGTGGTAGCTTTTTGAACTACCAGTTTTCCCGAACTGTAGCTTTTTTAAACTACCGGTTTGCCCGAAGCTGTAGCTTCTTCTTTTTTTTACTACTGGTTCGCAGTAGTAGCATTTCACCCCGACCTTTAATAATGACCATCAGTTTTGCCCCAAAATTGAAGGATGGACTCTTTTAAAACTCAAGGCCTGGTTTTTAGATTTCTACACCATCCTCCGAAGCAACATTCTCCAGAATTCATTTGAGTTATTTTAATTTTCATCTCGCGTACTCGAAAAAAAACATTCCCGTGCATATGAATTCACCAGCTGTCCAAAGTAGAAAGTAGGAGAGGGAGAAAAAAAAATAAATAAAAGAAGAAGAGAGAGAAGGAGGGAGGGAAAGAAAAGATCTATAGGCTATTTTCCTTTTAAAATTAATTAAAGACAGCAAGGAAACATCACTGGGCTACCCTCGGCGCTAAGGGCGTGAGAAATTAGATTTTCAAGGAGTGACAGTTTACAAGTCCAACTCTATGGTTGCCCAAGAAAGATTCACTTGTTCTATAGCCCAGAGCTTACTCAAGGGTTTCCCACATCAGTTCCTTTAGTGAATAATAATATGGTGATTGATTGATCTGTTTTTAAGGCTCCACTTTTAATCACAGAATTCTGTACCCAATGAAAAGTAAAAAAACAACAACATTGGAACAGAAGTGGCACACCAAGTATCAGAGATCTGCGGAAAGCAAGCTAATTGATAGACTCCAGCATCACCTTCTTCAACTCTTGGATGGTATAACATGCTTTAAAAGAAAAGAGAAACAGTTGAGGAGAGGAAAAAATTGAAGGGGATAAACAAGAAGGATACGAAAGGAGGAAAAAGATCAAACCGAGGTCTCTTCTGTGGGGGGTGGGATGGGGTAGTAAGCAAAGAGAGCCACGGGGACCTAGGTGCTCTCTGAGCTTGGCGATCCTCTTGCAGATGTTTCATGACCCAACTAGCTAACATCATCAGATTACAGATTAACAGAGTTGGAAGGGACCTTGTAGGTCATCTAGTCCAACCCTCCACCCAATCAGGAGACCCTACGCCATTTCTGACAGATGGCAGTCCAGTCTCTTCTTGAAAGCCTCCAGGGATGAAGCTCCCACCACTTCTGAAGGCAACTTCTCTTCCACTGGTTGATTGTTCTCACTGTCATAAAGTTCCTCTTTATTTCTAGGTTAAATCTCTCCTTGTTCAGTTTCCATCCATTATTCCTTGTCTGGCCTTCAGGTGATTTAGAAAATAGCTTGACCCCCTCCTCTCTGTGGCAGCCCCTCAAATATTGGAACATTGCTATCATGTCTCCCCTGGTCCTTCTCTTCACTAGACTAGCCATGCCCAGTTCCTGCAACCGTTCATCATATGTTTGAGCCTCCAGTCCCCTCATCATCTTGGTTGCTTTTCCTAGAGTCTCAACATCTTTTTTATAGTGTGGTGACCAAAACTGGATACAGTACTCTAGGTGTGGCCTTACTAAGGCTTTATAGAGTAGTATAAGTACCTCACTTGATCTTGATTGTATCCCTCTATTCATGCAATTTAGGATTGCTTTTTTGGCTGTCACCGCACACTGCTGGCTCATATTTAGCTGGTTGTCCACTAAGACAATCAGTGCTAGAAGGATGTGGGGTTGGAGGAGGAGGAGGGGGGGGGGGGGGGGAGGAGGAGGAGGAGGAGGAGGAGGAGGAGGAGGAGAAGGATTGTGGAGTCCTTGGTGCTCTCTGAACTTGCTGGTTTTGTTGCAAACATTTCATGACCCAACTAGGGAGCATCATCAGTGGTCCATCTGGGCATCATCAGCACCAAGCTCAGAAAGCACTGAGGACCCAAGAGTCCTCCTCTTCCTCTCTGCAAATCCCACTCTCTTCCTGCACAGATGATGTTACCAAGTTGGGTCATGAAATTTCTGCAAGAAAACCACCAAGTTCAGTAGAATTTGCAAAGTGGAGTCCTTGGTGGCCTCTGAGCTTGGTTGTCTTCTTGCAGATCTTTCATGACCCAACTAGGTAATATCATCAGTGCTAGAAGGGGTTGGGATTTGTAGAAAGGAGGAGGAGGAGGAGTGTAGGGTCCTTGGTGCCCTCTGAACTTGGTTGTCTTCTTGTAGATGTTTCATTACCCAACTAGATAGTATTATCAGTGCTTAGAAGGGGGTTGGAGGAGGAAAAAGAGGAGGAAGGGGAGGAAGACTGTGGGGTCCCTGATGCTCTCTGAGCTTGGTTGTCTTCCTGCAGATCTTTCATGACCCAACTAGGTAATATCATCAGTGCTAGAAGGGGTTGGGATTTGTAGAAAGGAGGAGGAGGAGGATGACAATTGTGGGGTCCTTGTTGCTCTCTGAGCTTGGTAGCCTTCTTGCAGATGTTTCATTACCAATCTAGGTAACCTCATCAGTGCTAGTAGGGGGGGGGGGGGGGGGTTGCTCTGAATTTATATTCCAGTGGCTTGCCCTATCAGCCTTAATGCGAGTGGTCTCTCTCCCACTAACTGACTACGATTCCCTGTAAGTAAAAGAGAGATTACCGTAGGAAAAGGTCTTCTAAACTTCTGTGTTCTGCTGTGCCTGCATTTCTCCTCCCCTCCTTCTTCTTCTTTCGCTTGGAGTGAATTATTTTCAGGTTCTCTGTCGGCAGCGGTGAAAAAAGCAGGGTGCTTGCAGAATGCACAGACTCTAAATGGAAACGTCCTGCTTTGCAGAGAGTTTCCTGCTGGGCGAAGTATAGAATTTCCCGGAGTTCTGATGAAGGGAAGTTTAATTTTGCTGGCTTGTTTCTTCCAACGGACCAGGGTGTTAACTGTTTCTTCCAGAGTTGCCTCTTGGATCCATTTTTATCGTCGTTTTCAAACTGCTAGGAAACAACGTCACGTAAGATTTTTAAAAGGGGTAAAAGAGAAAAAGAAAAAAGATTGCCCAGCGCTAAGGCTGGAAAAAAAAAGAGAGAGAAAGAGAGGCCTAAGCAAAGCAGGTTTCAAAATGTTATGGATGGGTTGCGCTAACTGGGAGCAGCAAATCTACAAAAGCCAATTAGGTCACCATCAGGGAGACTGAAGAGCAAAACGTATTTTATTAACCAGCGTGGGGCCTGGGAGGAAGACATTGGAGGAAAGGTTTGGAGATTCCAGTTTCCTGCCAGCCAATCATGGTCAATCATTGTAACAACGCTTTGAGCGCCAAGAGATAGTTGTCCTAGTTCAGGGGTCTGCAACCTTAAACCTACCCTATGGCTTAGGACCTGGTTATCTACGGGACCGCCAATAGCCTCCCACCGGCCAGTACGCTCCCATAGAGAAGGGCTCCTCCGGGTGCTGTCGGCCAAACAATGTCGACTGGCGTCCCCCAGGGGGAGAGCCTTCTCTGTGGGGGCACCTACTATCTGGAACGAGCTCCCCCCAGAGATACGGAGGATCCCGGATCTGCGCACTTTCCGTCGCGCGCTTAAGACTTTCCTATTCCATCAAGCTGGCCTGGCCTAAATCTTCTCCCCTTTTTAAATGTAAATTTTAATTTGTTTTAAATTATGGGGTATTTTAAATTCAGCCAAATTATTTAATTCGTTTTTAATTCATTTTAAATTTTTTGTATTTATGTGTTTTATCTCGTGGCTGTTCACTGCCCTGAGTCCTTCGGGAGAAGGGCGGTATAGAAATTTAATAAAATAAATAATAAATAATAAATAAACACTCAAACAGCCCTTTGGGCCCATTTACCCCAGAAAAGAAAACACCGGGAGTCACAAAACCTGGGTGGGCGTGGCCAACTCAACATCATTAACTTCCAACAGTCACATGACCCCCTCTAGCCACACCTACCCAGCAGGTCATTAGGGCAGAGAACCGGTTGTTAAAAAACACCGGGAACCACAAAACTCTTTTGACATCTCTCTCTCCCCTCCCTCCCTTTCCCCTCCTCTCCTCTCCCTCTCTCTCTGTCTCTCTCTCTCTCTGCCCTGGCCGCTTCTCCATCCCCTGCCATCGCCCTTACCTTCTCAGGCCAGGTGAGGAGTAACTGGAAGGGGAGGGCGAGGGGTGGGGACAGCCAGTGGTGGGATCACCCGACAGGGAGCCACAGCAGAGGGCCCAAAGAGCCACATGTGGCTCCGGAGCCACAGGTTGCTGACACCTCTCCTAGTGAGTCAAAATTTAGAACTTCAGTCTCCAAGGGAAGAACATGGACATGGATATTAAGCAGAGGTGGGTTTCAGCAGGTTCTGACCAGTTCTGGAGAACCGGTAGCGGAAATTTTGAGTCGTTTGGAGAACCGGTAGTAAAAATTCTGACTGGCCCCACCCCCATCTTTTCTCTGCCTCCTGAGTCCCAGCTGATCGGGAGGAAATGGGGATTTTGCAGTAACCTTCCCCTGGAGTGGGGTGGGAATGGAGATTTTACAGTATCCTTCCCCTGCCACGCCAACCAAACCATGCCACGCCCACCAAGCCACACCCACAGAACTGGTAGTAAAAAAGTTTGAAACCCACCACTGATATCAAGTCATGTCCTGAATGACAGAGACTATTTTCATTTGTAGGAAAGTTGGTAACACTTCTATAAAGCTGGACAGATGAGTAAAGAAAGAGTAAAAAGAATTGTCCAAGCATGCGATAGGTGACACACGTACAAACACACCAGGGAGGTTGTTAACAATAATGGCAGCCGTAACCCAACATCTCTGGGAGTTACTATATCATGCAGTACAGTTTGCTTAGTGACCACTCAAAGTTAGAGTAAAGGTAAAGGTTCCCCTCGCATATCTGGCTAGTCGTTCCTGACTCTAGGGGGCGGTGCTCATCTCCGTTTCAAAGCCGAAGAGCCAGCGCTGTCCGAAGACGTCTCCGTGGTCATGTGGCCGGCATGACTCAACGCCAAAGGCGCACGGAATGCTCTTTCCTTCTCACCAAAGGTGGTCCCTATTTTTCTACTGGCATTTTTTTAATGTCCTTTCGAATTGCTAGGTTGGCAGAAGCTGGGACAAGGAACGGGAGCTCACCCCGTTACACGGCACTAGGGATTCAAACCGCTGAACTGCCGACCTTTCGATCGACAAGCTCAGCATCTTAGCCACTGAGCCACCGTGTCCCTTTGTAACTCAAAGTTACAATGGCCCTAAAAAAAAGGGACTTAGAAATGTTTTCCAGAGTTTCAATCTTTACAGCATCCCCAGGATCAAAATTCAGACCCTTGGCAACTGGTTCCTATTTATGACGGTTGCAAAGTCCTGGGATCACGTGATCCCATTTTGTGACCTTCTGACAAGCAAAGTCAACGGGGGAAACCCGATTCACTTAACAACCGGGGTTACTAACTGATCAACGGCGGCAGTTCACTTAACCACGGAGGCCAGGAAGGTCGTAAAATGGGGCAAAACTCACTTCGCAACTGTCTCGCTGAATGGCAGAAACTTTGGGCTCAGTTGTGGTCGTAAGTCGAGGACTGCCTGCATTGTCCTCCATCTGCCTCTGCTTCAGGAAGGACGTTCACAGCCATCAAGATTGGCAGTTTGATCCTCCACGAATCTTGTCCACTCGACTTCTTTAATTTGTTGCCCAATCCCTCTACGTAATTGTTGTGAATCCTCAAGATATAATTGCGTTAGATGCAGCCATTTATTGCAGAAACTTTTATTTTTCTCCTAGATCTGCTCCCATCGCTGCAGTTTCATTTCTCTTGACCTTGTAAAAACGTCAAGGACTCATGTATCAGTTGATAGTTTCTTGCAGCCCCAAACGCAGCGAGGGAGAGTCCTTGGTTTTCTGTTGTCTTTTTAAATTAGATTCTCTTCCATGGAATAATAAAACTATTTCCCCATCTGTATCCGCTGATCTCTTTTCGTTTCCTTCCTTCCTGCCCTCCGGCGCTATGCAACCAATTACGACCAAATCTGGGATCATCGGATTCGTGTTCTGGTGAATTGAACGGTGGCAAGTCTTGAACTTATTCTAGGAAAACCCACCGTACTCAAAAGGGGAGAGAACAATGGGCAAGGCGCATTATGCAAACAGCTACTGGCATTGCCAAACAAGAAACGTTCGACAATTCTAATGGCCTAACATTTTGAAGGAGTCCGTTAGGGGGGGAAAAAAAACCCCACGGAAGCCGAGCAACTGTTGTGTTCATTTATCACAATTGCAAAATTGGCGGCTCACTCAACCGAAAGTTTCACTGCTCTGTTGCAAAGCTTTTGGCCACTTCCAATGGCCAAAATTGTCCAGTGGACAATTTGGTGTGCATGCACACACGCCCCAAAAAAGCAGGAAAGCAAGAAGGAAGGAAGGAAGGAAGGAAGGAAGGAAGGAAGGAAGGAAGGAAGGAAGGAAGGAAGGATGGATATCACGTTTCCCCGAAAATAAGACCCTGTTTTATATTTTTCTGAACCCCAAAATAAGTGCTTGGCCTTATTTTCGGGGAGGTCTTATTATTTTGGTGTGCATGGAGGAAACCAGAGGAAATGGCAGGGACCAGCTGCTCATGTGTTTAAATATTTTTTGGGGGGGGCTTATTTTCAGGGGGGGCTTATTTTAGTGTATATGCTCAAAAGCCGAATTGGCCTTATTATCAGGGGAGATCTTATTTTAGGGGAAACAGGGTAGATAGGAAGGAAGGAAGGAAGGAAGGAAGGAAGGAAGGAAGGAAGGAAGGAAGGAAGGAAGGGGTGGGTGGATGGATGGATGGATGGATGGATGGATAGATAGGAAGGAAGGAAGGAAGGAATGGATGGATAGAAGAAAGGAAGGAAGGAAGGGGTGGATGGATGGATGGATAGATAGATGGATGGATGGATGGATGGATGGGAAGGAAGGAAGGGAGGAAGGGGTGGATGGATGGATGGATGGATAGGAAGGAAGGGGTGGATGATTGGATGGATGGATGGATGGATGGATAGATAGGAAGGAAGGAAGGGTAGGTAGGTAGGTAGGTAGGTAGGTAGGTAGGGATAGATAGATAGATAGATAGATAGATAGATAGATAGATAGATAGATGATAGAGATAGGAAGGGAGGGAGGAGAAAAAAGAAAGAGAAAAAAGAAAGAAAGAAAGAAAGAAAGTTGCTAATCCATTCTTTAAGTAGTTAAGGGCAAAGTGAGTGCCTGTTATTTTTTTCCCCTTAGCCTAGATAAACAGAGTGAACATTTAAGTACCTGCTCAGCATTTAATTCGAAGACGATGCTTCGAAATCTTAGCTTTCTTTTAGCATCATTGTACTAACTCCCTTTTGCACTTGTCTATAGTTAGGAGGGATGCAGGGGGCTCAGCGGCTAAGACGCTGAGCTTCACGATCGAAAGGTTGGCAGTTCGGCGGTTCGAATCCCTAGCGTCGCGTAATGGGGTGAGCTCCCGTGACTTGTCCCAGCTTCTGCCAACCTAGCAGTTCGAAAGCAGGTAAAAAAACGCAAGTAGAAAAATAGGGACCACCTTTGGTGGGAGGGTAACAGCGTTCTGTGCGCCTTTGACATTGAGTCATGCCGGCCACATGGCCACGGAGACGTCTTCGGACAGCGCTGGCTCTTCGGCTTTCAAACAGAGATGAGAAAAGCAGTTGTACTTTCTCCCTGTTGCTCGTCCCCTTGTCCCATTAATGGATCAATAATTTCCTTGACTTTTTTCTCTTGTTTTTCACATGTTGAAAGAAGCTTCAGGTTTTTGTTTTTTGGGGTTGGTTTTTTTTTTTGGTTATTTTTAACTTTTGTCACAAGCCTTAGTTCATTTTGAGACTTAACTTTCTTTGCAGGCTCGGGCTGTTTGCTGCTCTTCTGCCTTAGCTATGAAACCTCGGGACCACGGGAAAGGTTTGGAAGGAGAGATTGATTGAGGGAAGGGTGAAATGACACCCGCAGATGAGATTCTGCAAAAGATG